TCATCATCATCGTCATCAATCATCATCATCATCGACATAAATCATCACCATCATCGTCATCAATCATCATCGTCATCGTCATCAATCATCATCAGCATCGTCATCAATCATCATCATCATTGTCATCAATCATCATCATCATCGCCATCAATCATCATCATCATCGTCATCAATCATCATCATCATCGTCATCAATCATCAACATCATCGTCATCAATCATCATCATCATCATCGTCATCAATCATCATCATCGTTACCAATCACCATCATCATCAATCATCATCATCATCGTCATCAATCATCAACATCATCGTCATCAATCATCATCATCATCATCGTCATCAATCATCACCATCGTCACCAATCATCATCATCATCATCATCGTGATCAATGATCAACATCGTTATCAATCATCATCATCGTCATCAATCATGATCATCGTCATCAATCATCATCATCGTCATCAATCATCAGCATCGTCACCAATCATCCTCATCGTCATCAATCATCAGCGTCGTCATCAATCATCATCATAGCCATCAATTATCTTCATCGTCATCAATCATCATCATCGTCATCAATCATCATCATCGTCATCAATCATCATCATCGTCATCAATCATCATCATCGTCACCAATCATCATCATCATCAATCATCATCATCGTCGTCAATCATCATCATCATCGTCATCATCATCATCATTATCATCATCATCAATCATCATCATTAATCATCATCGTCATCAATCATCATCATGATCAATCATCATCATCAATCATCATCATCAATCATCATCATCAATCATCATCATCAATCATCATCATCAATCATCATCATCATCATCAATCATCATCATCATCATCATCATCATCATCATCATCATCATCATCATCATCATCATCATCATCATCATCGTCATCAATCATCATCATCGTCACCAATCATCATCATCATCATCATCGTGATCAATGATCAACATCGTTACCAATCATCACCATCGTCATCAATCATCAGCGTCGTCATCAATCATCATCATAGCCATCAATCATCATAATCGTCATCAATCATCATCATCGTTATCAATCATCATCATCGTCATCATCGTCATCATCGTCATCATCGTCATCATCGTCATCAATCATCATCATCGTCATCAATCATCATCATTATCATCAATCATCATCATCGTCATCAATGATCATCATCATCATCATCATCAATCATCATTATCATCATCGTCATTATCATCATCATCATCATCATCATCAATCATCATCATGGTCATCAATCATCATCATCATTATTATCATTATTATTATCATTATTATTATCATTATTATTATTATTTTATTATTATTATTATATTATTACATTATTATATTATTATTATTATTGTTATTAATTATTAGTCATGAGACTGGCCAATCAACGATGTTGGTCAAATTTGAAATGCATCCTCTTCAGCTGGTGATAATTTGTCATAGCCTTAAATTTCTTTACTGGCTCATATACAATGAAGTAGATTATCCAGCTTTATTAGCTGAAATTGGGTTTCATGTACCATCCCAGATTTCCCGAAGACGTTACTTGAAGACACCAAACTCTAATGTCATGATTAAGCCACCTAACTATTTAGTGTGCTTCAGCTTTAACGCTGTAGCAAATAATTGTGACATTCATCACAATAATGTCAAAGATATTCTGGGTAAATTTAGTCGATGCTTTAATTTATAGCATAAGGCATGTACATTTGTTTTCTCATTTTTTTCAAGCAATTGCTCGAGCTATTATTTTGGTTAGGATTGCTTTAATCTAATGCTTTGCTTCAATTACATTGTCCTAAGAGTGTATTCTTCTGGTGGGCATTAAAGTTACATTATTATAATTGCTGAAATCTCTCACCCCATGTTATTTAGCGGAAGAAGTAACAGAGAAGAATTTTAAGACTCCAAGAACTTCTCACATTAGACTCAAGAAAAGTATTACCCTGATTTTCGATGACACATGCCACGAAAAAGTTACACAGGGCTATGTTAAAGTCTAACAAGCTTTCCAGATTTTTGAATACCTACCACGTAAAACATCTAAGTGTTTCTTTTCTGTGGTTCTTGGGTTTCGGGCCGGGTGTAATCAAAGCAATGCTTGAATTTACTGTTGACATTTTCCAACCGTTTGGAGTACAGTCTACATTTTTAGGAGGCTCAGTCGATTTCACTCCATTTTTACTTCCTATGCCAAAACTGGCGACCAAGTATTGTAATCGCAAAAAATTGAGATGCTATGTTTTTGGATGTTAAATGAAATGTCACCATCGGTCTGTCGGTCTGTCCGCTAATTTTAAAACCGCCTATAACTTTAGCAGCTCGGCTTTTGACAAAATTTCCACAAAAGGTTACTACTATGCCGGACGAAAGGCTTTGTATTTTTTGAAAATCGGTCAAGTGATGGCGGGGCTATGAGCACAAATTACAAAAAATAACAATAACGTTTTCTGAAGTTCCAGGGGCTCCTGATCAATCTTTGAAATTTTTTGTAGGGGTTTAAACTTGGTGTTTGTGGGCTGTAGGGGTAGGAGGTTGTAAATGTAACGTCTTTAGTATTAGTCAAAGTGCTTCTGATCCCTGTAACAACAGGAAAATTAAATGATAAAAGTCCAATGTATAATGTCATCCTGGAGGTCACTACCAATGTGCAGTGTGTAAGAAACTCCAACTGGTGTCGTCACTAACACACTCTTACAGGAGAAATATTTATATATTTTAGCAATATTTGGAAAATAAAAGTACGTACCAGTTTAACATTCTGCGATGCTTTTGTAAATGACTTAACTATTTTTATATATTATATACTAAGTGACATATAAATCCGAACACCCAGTTTAAATGGTTTTATTTTAATAAAATTTTGTATAAGTACTTAATGAAGCATAATATGTAAATGATAAAAATTTCAAAATGATTGCACTGCTTTAAAGCCCTTTGACCTTTAATAATGTGTGGATGCACCCTGATGTGCTACGCATGCTTCTGATCAGGTGGTCAATGTCCTCCTGTGGTATCTCATTCCAGGCAACCACCAACTCCTCTCGAAGCGCTTCTAGAGTCTGAGGAGGACGTTGCAAATCTCCTACCCATCATATCCCACACGTGCTCAATTGGGGATAAGTCGGGAGATCTTGGTGGCCATGGTAACAATGTGACATCACTATGTTGAAAGAAGTCTATTGTGACTCTTGCAACATGTGGTCGGGCATTATCTTGTTGGAAAGTTGGATCTGCCAGGGTGTCAAGATAGGGTAAAAGATGGGGTTCTAGAACTTCGTGGATATAACGCTGCACGTTCATGTTACGTCTGATGAAGATTAAAGGTGACCTGGAACCATAAGCTATAGCACCCCAGACCATAACTCCAACAGTGTGATGAACATGTCTTTCAACAAAAAACTGTGGATTCCTCCTTTCACCACGTCGCCTTCTAACCCTGGCACGACCATCGTGCATGCCTTAACAAAATCGAGACTCGTCACTATAGACAATACTGTTCCATTCCTGATCCCAGAGTGACCGTTGTCTGCACCACTCAAGGCGATTACGTCGGAGTTCTCGAGTTAAAGGGAGGACCCAGTGTGGCCGGTATGAAAACAAGCCAAAACCTCTCATTCGTCGGTAAACACTTCGCATGCCAATAGGTCTTCCGTGTTCTGCAAACCATTCATTTACAATGGACCTGGTAGTGGAGAAACGGTCCCTTCAGGCCAATAATCTTAGGCGGCGATCTTCACGGTCTGTTGTTCTACGGCGGCATCCAGTGCCCCTTGCTCTTTGCGTACGGCCTTCTCGACGCCATGCCTGACAACACCTAACCACAGTGTCTACACTTCTTTGCACTCTAACTGTAATTGCCCGAAAAGAAAGTCCAGCTTCCCGAAGTCCCACTATACGGACCCTATCAAACTCACTAAGTCGAGGAAATCATACAGGTCTCCGTAGTCTAGGCATCGCAACCGATCGTAAAAGGATGTCAAGAACCAAAATCCGCCAACGTTGATTCTTTACTGCGGCTGAAATATTCATTTTTAGAGCGTTAGTGAATTAAAAAAAAGCAGTATAAAAACCGGAATGTCCAACTGATAAGGCTGAAAATTTTTTCACTTGTTATTTACAGTAAGATAAATACATTCACCAACTTTTATTAAAATAAAACCTTTTAAACTGGGTGTTCGGATTTATATGTCACTTAGTATATGTTTTCTGAATTTTATGATCCTTAGATGTACCTCCCATTTCGTCTAACCTTTAATTTGTGCTAATGCGGCTCTGACGGTTTTCTGAATATTTCGTCAAGAAGGTTGACTCACTACTTATAACACATTGATATTACAACGAACACGCCGACATAAATGAGAAACACGGGCTTGTGTGAAGTAGATATTTTTAAGCAACAGAAAAACTGTTAACCAAAGTTTGAATATTATCGCGAGGTCAATATTTCCATCGATCAAGTAGTCGTAGATTTTCAAAATTGATTCAGATGCGGCGAAAATTGCTGGAAGATAGTCTGATAACGTTTCATAGATTCCTGTTCATTGCTAGACATTGTTTGGAGGGGATGCAAATTATAGGTTGGAAGCTGTATGTGGATGGTTATAAATTGCTCCATATTTGGTGTCAGTGAATGACTTTAAAAAGCTGCTGATTTCAATGGTAATATGCACCTGTTAGACATAATAAGTCACACATATTTTCCCTACATGTGCAATGGACACAGAAGTATGATAGAGTTACTTTATATGGTTTTATATAGTATGTAGAGAAGATTCGTCGTACCTATGTGAACCTACCTAATCACGATTTGATTTCGTCTTTTGAAACGATTTGACTCATCCCCTTCCGTTAATACCTCCAACATAGGCGTAAGAGTTATATAGTCAATCTACTTGGGGTCATTTTTTTGTGGAAAGAAGTTAAAATTCCATTGTTTTGTTTGTTTGATCCAGATGTATTTGCATGTGGTACTGCCGATGTGCCTGTCTACTTGATGACGGAGCTCTCAAATGCAATCATCTACCTACTGAGAGCTATTTAGCAGCTGGTTTTCAAGGGGGTATGCCGCTGCCTATTCACGTGGTTCAATATACTTTTATAGACGACATGATTGCGATGATGTTCTTAGTACTGCTTTTTGTATGTATCATATTGCTGTCCATGGGGTTAGTGAAGGCTCTTGTTGGTAAGATATTGTTTTCAAGCTATTCTACCATTTATTATATTAGATGGAAAATGCATCTTACCAAGAGAAGTTGGAAGAGACTAGCATGAAACATCGTACGCCAATTATCTAGGTGCTTTCATAGTGTACGCCGAAATTTACGCTGTGCCAGCAGTGGCATACAACGTACGATAAATGCTAACGTCTTCCAATTTGGTAATTCATAATAGCATCAGTGATCATCGCTATCAGTCCTGGCTATTTGCTTGAAATTGTTTTATTAAGAGTGCCTGTTGTCTTAATTTGAGGCTACCGCTTTATCTATTCCCGGAGAGTAGAAGTCGAGAATGGGACACACAATGTAGGTGATCAACGCAAAAAAGTAACAATAATGAAAAATGTCAAGAAATAATTTCACTTTTGTGAAAGTTTGGAAATCAGTTTTTGTTGTTTGTTGTTCATGTTTCAAGAAAGGTTGTCACCCATTCTGTCGGTCAGTCCCATTTAGGCAACTGAAGCAAATGTTGAACCAATTTATCCAGGGCTATTGCTTGTGGGTCGAGATACACATAGAAAGGAGTAGCTACCACATAAACAAAAGGTATCAAAACTTTCTTAAATGATTACGCAAGTTTCCTGAAACCCTGCTCATTTTTTACCCCCTGCTTCACAGTCCTCGTGGGTCCAGAGCTCCATGGGTCCACCATCAGGTTTCTCAACCTCTTTGAACTGATTAAGCTCAGACTGTGTAACCCAAATTAACTTATTGTTCAAATGCAGCTTATATCTTAACTCGATGATGGGGACGTTAAACTGGAGCTGTATTTTAACAGCCTGCCGTGAGTACGTCTAATTCCACTTCAAAGGTAGGATCTTTCAGAGTACTTTTGGTTCACCTCTCAACTGCATTGATCATGCTGAAAGTACAAGTTGGTTTCATCATTAAGACCTCAGCCACAAATCCTAAGCGTGTCTTATATCCAGAACTATCCCTAGGGTATCGAGATGGTGGAACAATCTACATGAGGTTTTTCCCAGCTCTACTAACCTTATGTAATCGTATTAACAAAGTTTCTTTAAGATGCTTATAGCAGCCACGGTGCCTTGGCATTGAGGATTCGGCCCTTTGAGATTGCTTCGGTATAAGAAAACGTTATCATCGAGTCATAGTATCACTTCCAACAGGTATCTTGAACCCCATGCGAAGGAAGAGGGTCTATTAAGGTAGGTAGTGTCTGACACATTGCTCGGGTTACCTATCCTATTTTCTACTCGAATCCACTTTCCTTCTGTTTGCGGATTTTGCCCATTACTTTCCTATTTTATATACATAGTTAATTGCCTTAACTGTTAGGGGAAGATATTCTTAAATTTCTTTGGGAAGAAGGTATTGCAAAAGTACACTCTTATAACTTGAACTCTCAAGCTTTCGAAGATCTATGTCTTCATCGTCTGGAGCTGGAAACAATTATTGACAATAGCAACAAATAATAATTGGGAGAAAAATATTTCTTACTAAGTCGGCGAGATTGTTTTTAAACAACAGTGAAGGAAACACATAGTCGACGAATAAGAAACTGGACTGATGAAAACGTTGATTGATTTTGGAAGAAATTTGGAGATTTTAAAACTATCAACTATTGAAAATTCCTTCGAGATTTCATTCTTTTTCCACTGGGGTACCCTGTATCCTACTAGAAGATAGAAGATGAACTCAGCTCTTTTACGCAGCGCCTGCCAACTGCGAGAATGCAATATCATATTTTCCTTTGTGTTATCATTCAAATGAACATTGTACTTTACATTTTGTAATTCATTTAGAATCTAGCCACGCTAATCACTACTCGAAATCTCGGAAATAAAATATTTTTTAAAAAGGCACTTACGCAAACTGCAAATGTAAGTTATATAATTTATATATTTATATTATTATTTTTTTTGCTGGCATCCAATATGATGACCGCTTCTATACCACACAAAGTGACGACCACCAGAAGGAATGCAGATACAAATGTGTTTTTAGGCATGATCTGGTAGGAAAGAACTATTTTAAATTTATGACTTGTATAGTATATCGGACAAAGCGAGGACTGACCGAGCTCCTAACATAACGAGGTCCGTATATTGAAACACTTCCAACAAAGTGAGCACCTTTCAGGATATATTCTCACTTAGCGCATACAGAGTGAGGACCGTACAAGGTTGTCTATGTCAACTGGTTTTTCTTACAGTTCACTTTGTTTGATACGTAACTGTGATGATGGACAATAGAGAGAGAGAGAGATAGATAGGGAGAGAGAGATAGGGAGAGAGAGAGAGATAGTTGTTGACCGTTTTAGTAGCTTCAATAGCTACCAGATTCATTTCGTGAGCATTTGCGAAATACGATCCATGTAGGAGAGTGAAATATCCCAACATGCAATAACAAAATGACGTCAAGTAGGTTGACTCATTCGGGAATCACGATATTCAGCGGATTAGGAGACATTTCGTGACCATCTGTGAAATGTGGTCCACCCAAAAGCGTAAAACACATCACCATGCAACATTGAAATGACGTCAAGTAGGTTGACTCACTGTAGGAGTAACGTGATTGGACAAATTAGGATACGTCTCGTAGACGTCTGCGAAATGTAATCCATACAGGAGAGTGAAACTTCCTAACATGCAAAACCAAAATGATGTCAACTAGGTTGACTCGTTCGGGGATCACGATATTCAGCAGATTATAGTAAGTTTCGTGAACATCTGTGAAATGTGATCTGCTCAGAAGTATGCAACACAACAACACACACAAATGACATCGAGTAAGTTGACTCACCCTAGGAATAACGTGATTGGGCGAATTAGGATACATTTCGTCAGCGTCTGCGAAATGTGGTCGATGCCGGAGTGTGAAATGCCCTCTACCAATCAGGAATAGAACGCCGCCAAGTAGGCTGACTCATTCAAGGAATAACGTAAGTAGGCGGACTAGGTTACGTTTCGTGAGCGTCTCTGAAATGTGATAAATGCAGGAGTATGAAGCACCCCACCATGCAGCATTAAAATGACGTCAAATAGGTTGACTCATTCAGAGAATAACGATATTTAGGGGATTAGGATATAATTCGCGATTGTCTGCGAAATTTGGTCTAAGCGAAAAAGTGAAACACTCCAGCATATAACAACAAATGACTCGTTAATCCGAAAGTTGTCCTCGACTTAGATAGATACAAATTTATTGTAAGGCGGTGTGAAAGTTTATGTGCGGGTTGATCATGGGTAGAAGGCAGTGCCTGCCTTACCGGTTTATTATTAGCAACTCATTATGAGAATGCCTCCGAGGAATGACCTCATGCTTGTTTTTTATTATCGTTTGAGGATGTTGCCTCAGAAATACAGTTATTGTAGATAGTTTTTATACTGCAAGTCATTACAGTATACGTGTGGGGTTACTGCAGTTTTTGCAGTTAGAACAAAGCTTAGAAGAAACAATTTTCATGTGACACCTCAAGAGTAATGGTTCTAGCTATAAGACTTAGAAACTGGAATTGCTTAGAAGGTAGCACTTGTTAATTGAGTAAGTGCATCAGAAGGAAAATTTTTCATATAAGATCAGAAAAGTCTTGAGACTGCAAGTATCAACTTTGCATCTATATGGTAGCACCTTCCCAATTGGGTTATTATCGTATAAAAAACCTGTAAATTATGGTTTACAATGTTTCCACTGTTAGCCATGAACTGTTTCCTTTGCCTTGATTATCAAAAAAGCAATGTTTAGTGTGAGAAATTTAATATATACGATCCAGCGAGAATGCTTTGAGTCGTGTGCATGATAAATAGGAACCATTTTGTCGACTTTTGATATGAGGATCATTTCCTTCTAAAATTCGAGAGATACCGATTTGCGATAGAATTTTGAATAGTTATGTACAACCAGAAATTGAAAAGTCCAATATGATGTTATGGTAGCCATACAAAGTTGTAGTTCCCAATATATCCTCTTGAAAACGTAGATATGCGTGGTATCACTGTGATATGAGATTATAGGTGGATATCAATTACCTTAAGGTTTCTTATTTGGAGGGAAATAGAAGCAGCCACCTGAAGGTCCTTCCAACGGTATTGTACGTTCCGCACAGTCTCCAGTTGCAAGACTTTATTCACAAGTCGAATATTTATGGTTACATCAAATCCACTTTCTACGAGTGGTTCTTGTTTGGTACAAAAAAGTAGCTAAAGTCAAGTAATAGTACGAACAGCTATAAAGGGCAAATAAGATTTGTAGAGTGCCAGCTTTTTTATAGTAGCAATTTCATTATAGAACTCAAAAGCAGTGAGTTGTAACATAGGACCTGAACTTACCAACCAAGGTAAATATGAATAACTGCACAAATTCAGCGGAGGCAATAGACATAAACGTATCTGATTCAATTCGCGTAGTCTAATTTCCCACAATGTTTTATTAGAATACCGTTGATTAATTTATAATATCTCAATTCCTGCCACACATCGAAACTTGAGATGTTCTCACTGCAAGCCTGTTTTCAATTTTTTCATTCTATTATATCGTTCCAATTTTGAATAAACCTTGTTCCTACATTATTTGAACTATAGAAGCATTTTTTATGGATGATTCTGATATCTGGATAGGTCACCTTTCAAGAAAATCGTCAGAGCATGTCTTTTAAAAGTATCATATACAATAATTGGACGATAAGGGAGTATAAGTATTTCTGGAGTACTGTCACCTGTCTTCCTTCTAAAAGCTCATACCGGACCGCCAAATTCATTTTCCATGCATATATATATACTATATATATATATATATATATATAAATAGAGAGAGAGAAAATGATCATGCGGAGAAAGGTATATAACAAAAAGTAGGAAAATAATGGACAAAATCCGCAAAAAGGAGGAAAGTGGATTCGAGCAGAAAATAGGATAGGTAACCCGAGCGATACGTATTTCTGCTGGTTGGCTTCATCAGGCCCGAAATGAATGCCCATATGAAACTACAAAAGTAGATACACATGCCCACACATCCGGATAAACGAAGATCGAGAGGGAAAAAACGTCACACGAAGTCCACAACAAGAGCCAACCTACACATTGTAGTATAAAAAGACCTCGAATTTTCAAGGAGACATCTAACCACAACCACGCGGCCGGTTAAAGCTACTTGTTGTGGTACTTCAGGCCCAAAGGATCTACAAAGAGAAAATGATCATGCGGCGAAAGGTATATAACAAAAAGTAGGAAAATAATGGGCAAAATCCGCAAAAAGGAGGAAAGTGGATTCGAGCAGAAAATAGGATAAGTAACCCGAGCTATACGTATTTCTGCTGGTCGGCTTCATCAAGCCCGAAATGAATGCACATATGCATCTACAAAGGTAGATACAGATGCCCACACATCCGGATACGGCTGTAACCTGGGGAAACGAAGATAGGGAGGGAAAAAGTAAAATTTTGCAGAGCATCTGGGCTTGAAGTACCATAGCAAGTGGCTATAAGCGGCCGCGTAGTTGTGGTTAGATGTCTCCTTGCAAATTCGAGGTCTAGCCATTTTACACTACAATGTGTAGGTTGTCTCTTGTTATGGACTTCGTGTGACGTTTTTTCCCTCTCCATCTTCGTTTTCTCCGGTTACACCCGTATCCGGAAGAGTGGGCATGTGAACCTACCCTTGTAGTTACATATGCGCATTCATTTCGGGCCTGATGAAGCCAACCAGCACAAATACGTATCGCTCGAGTTACCTATCCTATTTTCTGCTCGAATCCACTTTCCTCCTTTTTGTGGATTTTGCCTAATGTTTTCCTATTTCTTGTTATATACCTTACCTCGCATGATCATTTTCTTTTTGTATACTGTTTGCATATGTATGTTAAATCAATAACTTTGAAAAAGACTTCTAAGAACTTTATTCGAGGATTGTAGCTACAATCCGTTAGATTACAAATTACAGGTTTTAATGAAGTGATATTTACGGAGTCTAACCGGGTATTGAACACACTTCAAATGCCGGGGAGACAAATTATACAATTTGGGATCCTGACTAAGCGTCAGCAGAAAATAGACAATAACAGTAAGCAATAGTCTAACAATAGTCTAGTGATAAATAGAGACACTAAGTAAACAACTTATTAGCGAGAAGTAGAAATACATGCCCACTTAGCCGGATACGGGTGTATCCTGAGGAAACGAAGATGATAGGGGAGAAACGACACACGAATTCCACAACAAGAGCCAACTTACACAGTGTAGCATAAATGGCTAGAAGACCTCGAATTTTGAAAGAGACATCTAACCACAACCACGCGGCAGGTTACAGCAACTTGCTGTGGCCCTTCAAGCCCAACGGATCTACAAAGAGAAAAAGATCATGCCGAGAAAGTTATATAACAAAAAGTTAGAAAATAATGGTCAAAATCCGCAAAAAGGAAGAAAGCGGATCGAGCAGAAAATAGGATAGGTAACCCGAGCGATATTTATTTCTGCTGGTTGGCTTCACCAGGCCCGAAATGAATGCGCATACGCAACTACAAAAGTAGATTCACATGTCCACTCATACGGATACGGCTGCAACCTGAGGAAACAAATATGGAGAGGGAAAAAACGACACACGAAGTCCACAACAAGAGCCAACCTACACATTGTAGTATAAATGACTAGTAGACCTCGAATTTTCAAGGAGATATCCACCCACAGCCACGCGGCCGGTTATAGCAACTTGCTGTGGTACTTCAAGCCCAACCGATCTATAAAGGGAAAATGATCATGCGGAGAAATGTATATAAGAAGAAGTAGGAAAATAATGGGCAATTTATACTACAATGTGTAGGTTGACTCTTGTTGTGGACTTCGTGTGTCGTTTTTTTCCCTCTCCATCTTCGTTTCCTTAAGTTACACCCGTATCCGGATGAGTGGGCATGAGAACCCAAAACACGGGTGTGAATAGTATGGAGTAAGCCCAAAGATGGTTCTTAGCCATCAGGTGATCGCTAAATGAAAACCAAACATCCCTTATTGAATTTTTCCCTGACAGGTTGGTTATGAGATCTGAACCAGTATAACTTCTAGGAATAGTACTTGATACCAGACTAAACTGGATATCCCACATTGATTATTCACATTCTAGGCTGTCTACACAATCATATGCTTTTACGCAGCTAAGCAGATGCCTCGATAACCGTACTTTGCAGGTAAGGTACTTCAGCATCTTCCGTAGTCACATTACATATGGCACGTTGCTCTGGGGAAACTCAGTAGCATCTAGCAAAATTTGTAAGTTGCTTAAGGTTAGTGGAACTGAAAAAAGCCTCCTCATGTAGAATGTTCCACTGTTTAGATACCCTACGGACAAAGGAGAGGTCGTACCGTCCAGTTCTGGATGTAAGAACTTCGGCACGGTTAGGATGGAAGGCCGAAGTGAGGCGGTGGCATCATGGAGGAGAGCTTTTAAAATAAAAGTCCATTGGTGTAGTAGTAGAAGAGAGCTATATCGCCGACGGCCCACCGGTGCAAAAGGATCCTCATCAGCACCTCAAACATGTGAATAATACTCGAGGCTAGGTCTTATCTGGGCCTTGTAGAGATTGAGGATGTCATGTTGAGAAATTTACTTTTTAGCCCCAAGCAAATAGCCTAGCCTTTTTCCCGCAGCTGCCGATATTGACGAGATGTGACTGCTTGATCAAGTCCTTGGTGATCTGGGCTCAGAGCAGCCGAAATGAACGGCTCTTAGGTAGAACTCGGCAATCCATCGTCAAGGTCCAACACTGTGTTTTAGAAGCATCAAACTGTTCAAGATTGTTCCGTCCCCAAGCAGTGATAGCCGCCAGGTCTCCCATCAGAGAGGAAGTCGCTGCTATTCTTCTTCAGCTCACCGACAGAAATGGGCTTGTCACTCTCAACTCCTGTATGTAGAGGGCTGTCAGCAGCAAAGCTGTGGATTGGACTGATCCTACAAGAAAAAAACCAATACCGATCTCGCTGCGTTGACGTTGTGGAATGAAAGGGAGAACCCGTCAATTACGATGGATATCTTGTGGTGAGAAAGAAAGTCAGGCACCCAACCGCAAAGTTTCCCTGGGATGCCATAGGATGGAAATTTGCATAGGAGGGCAGCGAACCGAACGGTTTCGTGATATCAAGAGCAACGACTTGAGCCTCACCTTAAGACAGGGTGAGATTAGTTCACAATTAGGTGACGTGAGCTAAGAGGTCTCCTGTAGATCACTGGTGCCAGAAACCATAGTGCCTGTCACAAATCAAGCCGTGACGATCGACGTGCTCCAGAAGCTCCTGATTTATGTACATCTCCATCACCTTAGCTATAACAGAAGGTAAAGTTATAGTCCTGTAGTTGTAAGACCTCTTTTTGGGATGGGTTGTCTATGAACTAATTTTTTATGCAGGTGCTGGATTCGTAAGATATCCAGAAGAGTTGTGAAAGAACTGGAGCAATAGGCTGTTTGTTTAAGGCTAAGATGTACTTTTCTTCACATGACCTACTTACTCCGTATAAGGCCCAGATAAGACTGAGACTCGAGTACTGCTTACATGTTTCACACCGACGGGCGTTTGGTGGTCTATCTGGCTCTCTTCTACCCCTTACTTCTTCTCAGACTTCTGTCTTCCACCATTATTAAAAAGATGGGTGTTATATATTCAAGGCCCAACTAGCTTTGAGAAGTTAAAAAACCTAATGGTGGACCTTATAGCTCTTTATCAGAAACAATGGACAAGGTTAATTTTAAAATATTATTTTCAACAGGTCTGGCGGTAATATCGGTGAGTGAATGGGGCTTCGATATCATCTACGGTCTACCTAAACGCATTCAGAAATACAACGAGAAGCACATCCGAGAGCGCAGTGTTGTTTATAACGATAACCTTTGGCCGGTCCATCCAGATACGGGTGTGCAAGTTCGCAGCTTGGCCCTCAGTGCGGAGTTTTGTTCCAACTTGGTATTCTTCGTTATTTACCCTGTGGCTGTTATCTGGACGATCATAAAAAGATTTTTTTTTTCAACACAGTTTCCAGATGTAGAATGCAAGGAGAACAGCGGTTGTCCCTGTAAGGGTGGAAAGCAGGTGCAGAGAAAGAATAGCTCGATGCAGCGGAAAAGATCACGATATTAAAAATACTTTTATTATGTTCTAAAGACGATATATGTACCTCTGAGAGAGTTGTTTCTTTTTACTAATTTCGAAGCCCGGTTTTACTGCCTAACCATACGCACTCAAAAAAATATTTCATAAAGGCTTCGTTGCATGAAGCTTTTATTTTGCTAGGTTATCCAAGTTGTACTATTAATATACGTTTCTGATCCCCTCGGTTCTTCCAATTCCGATTACTGCATATTTTTAGCTCACGGGTAACTTCAGAATGAATTATCTCTCACAAATAAATAATGTCACAAGTTCATATAGAGAGTGTTGATTCAACACATCTACGTATGCAAATGGTTCATTTTCAACATATTTATTGAATATAATAGTCTAATCATATTAGACGAAAATACTCCTGGTTTGCGAAATAATTGTAAAGTCTGGTTTTATTGATGCAAGTTGTCCAAGGGGGTATTTAAAACATGGACGCAAAAAATGGGTACACCAATTTCTGTGGGAATTTGTTTATTCGACAACAAAGAATGAGGAAAGGTGTTATTTGGGATTTAATCGAGAGTGCTGACACGAGGCAAAAAAAAACTCAAATAAGATTTTTAGGTATTGTCCTGCAGAATGAGACTACACGTACTTTTAAATAACCACAACAAAATTGGAGCCGATTGGTCATGTAGTCTTTGGGAATTTCTAATTGTTTACCCCAAAACACCTGACTTTCGGTCATCACTACTAGTTCACTGTGCAATATACAGGGTTCGTTCAAAGGTCACTCTATAGCAAAATACACGAGTCTACCATGCGGACATAAATCACAAACCATTCCGAAAGATAATTGTTGTTTTAATGCGAAATACGTTATTACTTATATACATTTTAAAACAAAGCGGATGTGTCCATACCTTTTGTTGCGAAGAAATCAATTTTTTTTCAAGATTTCTTCATACTAAATGTATACATATTTAGAGCTGAAGTTTTTACACGGTCACATTTGAGAACTAAAGTTTATAAAAAAATATGTCATACTGAAATGCGCTGAAGTGTTTTTATAAAGTTAGCATGCAAACTGAAGTTCCCAATTATGTCTTAGACTATTTAGTATGTAGCATGAGCAAAATGGCTCCATTATTGATGACTGCATGACCTTGTCAAATAAGTAGGTCACGTAATCCAGTTCCTTTACGAAGGAATATAATTCCCTGGACCTTATTTCTAAAAGTTTTAATATAGTATACGTCTGTTTTCGAAATCTCGTACGATTAAGACGACAAGTATCAACCAATTATAGCGAACTGACTATCTTTAAAATTAGGCAAAATGCTCGGTATTAGTCCCTAATACATTATTTAAAGTTTCAGTATTGTATCTTGTATAGTTTCCAAGACTATTCTAATTGTTTATAACAGATTTGATATGCCTTCAACGTTCAAATTAGTCCATTCAACTTATGTAGTTTGATTTCGCTGACAGATAAAAGATGAGGTTTGGGCGTAAGGCTGTTACCTATGTGGTTGAAAAATTTTTGGGAATACTCATCCATAAAACACTTGAGTCTATTGACCCTTGAGGCTAGTCACTATAATAAGCTCTATTTACGTAAAAACTGAATGAGCAAAAATATGTAATTCATACTGTGACAGACAGATGTGAGGATTAATTGAATAGATTCTGGACATATTCAACACGTTTTATTGCTCACAAATTAAAGAATATAAAATAAGTTGAATTCAAGTTATACTCTTCCAAATCAAAATCATTGAAAAAATGGAATATGATAAGTGTTACCCATTAATGTTAGTTTGCTTTATAAACTATGGTCAAAAAATGTTTTACATCATGTATCTGTTTCTGCGAAATAATAATGAATTCAACGTATAATTTACAGGGCGCTGTATTTAATTGAATACAAGGAAATAAAGAGGACTAAATCCGAGCCTGGAATTTAAAGTTGCCAAAACGTCTTCAATTTCAAGCATTATTTTGAGAAATATTGATTAAGCCAAGGTAATATACCTTGAAATTTTGAGTTTTGTGTCATATAAACTGCTAAAAACAAGATACTTGAATGAATAAAGAAAGATATAACCAAAAAACTTAATGAGGGACAATCAATCTATTTTGCTTGTTAATTAGCACCATTCATTGACCGTTTTGTACATAGTCAAACATTCTGATATGCAGCGTAAATGGTGTTGATTCTGATAGAAAAAGGTGAAAAAATCGAGTCCAGTCCTGGATTTTTTGACCGCCTGTCAAGTCTTACTGCCAAGTACCTTTGTTATCCAAAAAAGCTGGTTCAATAGTGCCTGAGATATGCGGCAAGACTAAAGTGGTTCTTCCTTGGACCATTCTGAAGATATTTTATCCCTCGTTGATTTTTGATAAAGCGGAGAATATCAAAATTGGATTTGTTGAAAAATGTTTCGCCCTGTATCTTCACAACAAAGCGCTTTTGCAAAAATCATCAAACGATAAAATGTCCTTCGAATATTCCAAGGAATAATCTCTTTGGTTTTTGACACATCTGCAACAAATACCCTGTTTGCATTTTCCATTCGGATATATTAGGATATCCAAAACATTTTCGATGAAGGGTGTTTTTGATAAGCAAGTACTGAAGATACGTTTCATCCAAGAGAATAAAAGTTCAACATAATTTCTCAGAACGTAGTTAATCCCACTACAAGTACCCACCCGTATCTGCACATTTTCTTAGACCTGAAGATTATGCCAAATCAGACTTTAGCTTAATCTGAATGTATTAATGATAGACCTATAATAGAAAGATAAATCGTAACTAGTATATCAGAGTCTGTGTAGCAGGTGTTGTTATAGCTGGGGATTAGCACTGATACGGAGGGAGAACTCAAACCATTTGTCAAAGCCGTCAGCGCTTCATCTCAATTTAAAAAACTTCGTACAGATGCTTAATATCTCACTGGTTCGAAACTAACATACGTCTGCGTCCTATCCATGCTTATGACCATACAGATAGATAACTGATGTTTAAAATAGTAGTTAATTGATATCAGGCTTGCATTGTTTGCTGACTCAATTATTATTCCGGGTAAAGAATAAGCGATTTGAACTTTGCATAGCTTTACTACGTCCCAAAATGTCACGTGGCTTCTAGTCGTCCCTGATGATCCGTTAGCGGTTTCAAATTTGGTAGATTGTTAATATAACTTTGGGTATAAGTACAAGTCTTGAAAATAGATTATTCGAATCGGATGTCAATATAGTAGTTTCCAGCGTGGAGGCCGTGCCTACAATCCTTGGATGAATACAGATCGTTAGTTGCCGATTTTTGCCATGAATACAATCAATCCATTTATGATTTTACGTTAATTATGAAAAAATAATAATACTGTTAATAACAAAGAGGTACCATTGAAAGAACTTAGAACAAACGTCAATATGTACTTACGTATGCCACCAAAAGTGTATGTGTAGCCTGAAAATTTTGCATCCGCTAACGAATGCTGGTCAGTTCGTAATACATCTGATCTAGGACTATTACATAACCTTTTAGCTGATAATTCAGCAATCTAGTAAAACTAAAATTCTTATGTGCATAACTATTACCCAGCTACAACTAAGAAGTATCACTAGAATTTAAATGTCTGTGCCTCATGCCAATCCCTCTGATGCCTGATATAAGGGCAATATTTCTTGACTGTCGACAGTTTTACGGCTGCTGTCGGCAAAATAAAGACCTGCCAAATGTAAATAAACATGGCCCTGACTAAATGCTTATGTCACAGATACAGTGAAATTGAACAAAACATCTACTACTGAATTGTTTCCGCTTTCGAAACGCATTCGTGGAGATTACCGAAATAATACTTCTAGATCCAATACACTGCTCTATGCTTACCGGCATACCAGGTGACTTGAAAAGTTTCTGGACTCGCAAAAGGCGTTGGTATCAGAAAACTTATTAACTACTAACACTTCATATAAGTAGATGCTCAGTTTCAAGCTGATCTGAAAAGTAGTATTACTCCTTTTCGGTGAAATAATAAACTCAGAGTATACCTTACAGGGTATTTTACTCAATAAAATATAAGGTGATAAAAGAATGGCATCAAGTAGGTTGACTCCGCACTTCCTGCGCATCGCTGTCATCAATACATAACGGATTATATTTGGCACAATGCAGTCCCTCTTAGAAAAAAGTTCACTTCGAACATGTACCACAAAGGAATATCATCACTCAATGGGTCAGTCATCACTCTCCATCCTGGATGAGTATATCGAAGATATATCTCCAGCCTGCAAGGTTTAATTGCAAATGTCCGGAAAAATCTATGATGAAAAACGTATGAAATCGTAAAAATTACCATCATCAAAAAATATACATATTTATACTCTCCTTCTACAGTCCCCAGCATCCAATGCTTAATCCCTGCAAAAGATTTTGTGAAAATGATCAACATCCTCTGAAACATTAAAAACCGGAGTTTGAGCGTTTTTTTCATATTTGATTTTTGTCTGTAGCACCGTCGCCACTGGACCGTTTCTCAAAAACCTCAAATCTTAGCATAGCAGTAACTTTCAGTCAAAATTTCGTCAAAATCCGAGCGGTGCTTCCCAAGTTATAAACAGGCCAAGGATTAGCGGACAAGCAGTCACACAGACAGACAGACTGACGGAAAATAGTGGTATGATTTTTCGTGAGGTACACGTCATATAACATTCAAAAAGCATTCAATCATTTTTCACAATTATACTTACCCACCGAGTAGAGTAAAAAGTAAGAATCTGAATCCGACCCTGGTATCCATCCTTCACCTTTTACTGCTGTATATGACCCGGAGGATCAACTGCATATAACTCGTACCTTGACACACTGTAGAATATCAGACTGTTTTTTGTAATCGTTTACATTGTTCGATATTACTCATATCATATCCAAGATTCGGGCATGTTTTGTTAGGATCAGTCTCTAAGAATAGCCACTGTCAATAAAAGTATTGCAACTGTAAACGCTTTTGACGAAATCAGTTCTAGTTACCAATGATGGTCTACAAAGACGCAGGCAACACGGATTTTATATTTTATGGTCCACTTTTCGTTTTATTAGCGTCATAATTCGAACGCTACTGAATGTGGTGCAGTAAACTTTTATTGGGATGGATTTTCTTCAAAATGAAGTTGTAGCTGCATGCTACAAGACG